AATAAAAAAGAAGGTAAAATATTTTATAAATACAACAAAATATGAGCATGTTTTCTCTTTTAACATAAAAAAAATACATAGTTAAAACACAAACTAATTTATTAAAAATATTATATTAACTTTCAGAATATTTTTATTTAATACGTTTTATACGTAAAAGAGTTAGAAGACTATTTCAAGAAGATACGTGCTTTTGTTTTAAAAGATAAGACAGAATATGCATAAAAACATAATTTTATTTTTGATACAATTAAAGTGCAGATTAAGTAAAAGGAATTGCAACTTATATCATTTAAATAATTAACTTACATTCCCTTGCCTTCAAATTTTTTTATTTACATAAAAATTCTTAATTTATGTTAAAAATACAAGTTGTTTATTTAAATTATTTGGTCTTTGTATTGTAAAATAATTGTTACGTTAGAAAGATCTGTTTCAATTATGGAGTAAATAGTATTATTATAATAAAATTTAAAAAATGTATTATATTTATGAATGTGGGTTTTTAGGGAAGCAGCTATTACCTATAATAAAAAATTAGAGTCTGTTGGACGTAAAGTAGATGTAGCGCGTTTAATAGCACAGAAAATAACATATCAATGGTATAGTAATCTTATGAGCCCTACTTGGTGGACTCACGCATGGCTGTTAGAAGGTCTCACTACATTACTCGCAACAGATGCTATTAATAAGGTTGGTTTTCTTAAATTACTTTTAGCGCTGTATATTGCTTATAACCCAGTAAGAAATGACAATGAAATCAATTCGATGTCAATTCCATTACATTTCTCATTGGAAAAGATGTGTAGAATGATTAAAAGAAAATGCATTTTATGAAACTTATTTCTAATATCATAGATAACAAAAATTAATATGATATGTATAATTAATATTAATTAGATATGTATAATTAACAATATGTATATAAAAACATTTTAAATTTTTTAAAATTGTTTTTATCCATTAAAAGTACTGATTGTTTTTCTTTCTCTAAATGTATAAGTTTAGCGAAACACGACGTAGCAATTATATAGCTATTAACAGCAATAAGATGCTAATATATATTAATAATATTAATAGTACTAATAATGCAAATATCACTTACTATTGTATATTCATTAATCAATTAATCATAAAAATTTCATTTTTAGACATATCCAGAGTTCCGTATATGGGATTTATTTACAGTTCAAATTCATCAAGAATCTCTTCGTTTAGATTCCATTATAAAACCTCTTTCTACAAAAATAAACACTCCTTCTGAAATCAATTCGCTTTTCTCTTTTGCATATTATTTGAAAGGTAAGGCTTAGAGAATTTAATTTAATGTTTTTGTCCATAAATCGCAAAATGTGTAAATAACAAGAGCAGTTTTTTAAAAAATTAAATACTTGTCATTTAGATTTTGATTTAGTTATATATGAAAACGAAAAGAAATGATTTACAAAAATTTATTTTTTTCTTAAAATTAATGATAATTTAGTATAAGAAAATCAGCTCTACGGTGACTTTGGCCTTGACACATGTTGATCATGAGCCTCGAATGATCTTCAGAAGGTTTTAGCCGTTATTTGTAAAAAAATTATTAACAAAAAAGGAATTAGAAAAGTTTCTGAAATATATTATACAGAACAGTGTATGCATGAACACAGTGAGTTGTATACTCCCCCCTTCCCTCTACGGAGCTGTTCCCATTACCAAAAACTAGACAAATAGATATGAGTTGAACCTCGCTTCGCATGGAAAGATATAAGTAGTGCTGAGCATAATCGATTTTTTTTTTAATCAATTATATTAAAGATGTAACTGTAAATCGATTGTGCTTTTCGACCATAGTGAAATCAAGATGTAGATAATTTTGTTTGTCACTCCTGTCAACCCTCAAGACAAAAAAATAACAAATTAACCGTTTAAATAATCAATTATTAATTCATTATGTCCATCCCTAGTTGTAAACTTGTGTGGAACCTCTCTTTATATGTGTCAATTACAATAAAAAAGAGAAAAAATTGTCAAACTCACAAATTTTTATATCGAATTTTGTATTTTTGATCATTTTTTATTGTATTTGTCACGACTAAACTGATTGATTGTTATTCATTAAATTGTTGTTTTGTAAATTTTTATCATTTATATCGTGTGCATATATACACCTCTACTTCATACTTACAATTAGTGATT